AAAATAAGCCTATCTACAGTTTACATCATGCTCTAAAACAGATCACACATAGGCTAAAAATACTATGCAAGATAACGGTATATAAGAAGGATAATGAAGCAAGTGCAAGATAGGGACCTCAAATGCCAAAATTCCCTTAATGAAACATGAAATAGAGCCCAAATAAAGGGTACTTTCAGTTTTGGTCGGAGCTCAAAACAGCAAGCAAAATAGCTAAAAAAAATGTTGCAAAATTAAGCTCAAAAATGAGGAATTGGTACTTACCCTTGGAGACCAACCCTTGGTTGCTTCTTGGCTTGAGAAGTGGTGCCTCCTAGCTGCTGGAAATGGAAGTGGTGGAGTGGTGCTAGGTGATGGTGTGAAAATGGGATAGAATTTGAGTGTTTTTTGAAGGAAAATGAGAGAGGGAGAGGGATATAATGCAAGAGCTCTTGCGGAAATTTTTTGTAACCCTTTTCTCTATGTTGGAGGCCAGCTTTGTAGACCAAAGAGGGGGGAAAATGAGGGAAAGAAATGGGGGGGAAAACAAGCCAAGTTTCCCCCCAAAAAAGGTCCCCTCCGGATACAGGTTTTTGGGGGGAAAAAGTGTACAACTGTAACAAACACAACCTGAGGATCATGGCCGGCCCCTTTTTGGAGATGCAGGTGGCCGGCTGGCCACCCCCCATGGCCGGCCGGCCAAGGGGCAAAAGGGCCAAGTTGAATTAGTGGCCGGCCACCACAAATTGCTATCCTCCCAGGTTCCTTCATCACAACCCTGTGGTTCAAAATTGCAAAATGTAAAACAGGAGAGAGAATAGACCATTTTTAGGAGGGGTTCAAAAGGGTCAAGAAACATTAGTGGCCGGCCACCAACTTTTAGGGTCCTCCCATGTGTGTACATCACAAATATGTGGTTAAAAGTTTAAGAAAATGGCCCAAGGGTGTTCAACATTGGCTCGGAAGTGAGAAAAACGGGCGTCGGAGGGCGGCAGAGGATATATAACTGGTTGCTGAAACAATTGCTGGCCTCCCACCTTTCTATGGCCTTCCTGGTGATGAAACAGAGGTACCTGCCAAAAATGAACGAAAACCGATGCAAAACGAATGTTCGAGGGCCAGAACACGCAGTTCGAGGCCTCGAAAATTGCCTGTTAAGCACCGAAAGTGGCACTCGACCACGAAGTGGGTCTCTCAGACCTCAGTGTCCCTCAAAAGGGAGCAAATAAGAAGTACGCCAAAAACCGGAGCAATAGGAGGTGGTTAAGCGGTCCCGAACTGAGGCACACGGCCCGACAGCTCCGAAAACCGGGAACCGGGCTCCGAAATGGGAAAAATGGCCTACAGCCACAAAATGTAGCCCACGGCCACTGAGAGATGGTCTACGGGACCTCTCTCTCCCCTCAGGAAAAGAAACAGAGAAAACCGAGTCTGGTTCGCAAACCGAGGCAAGGCATAGAAGAGGGTTCGGAAATCTGGAGGCAGGGCTCACGACCAAGACTCTGAAACTTCTGAACGAGCACATTATGCAATATCACCATGCGCTCAACTGGTGACGTCTGAGTCTCAAGGTCGGTCAAAAATGGGGTGGCTACAACCATGCTCTTTATTTTAGCTATTTATCCAAATACTATTAATTTTATAGAATGTCACGTCAATAACATAGATGGAGGGAAATGATCATAATGATTGAATACATTTTGCCTAGCGTTGAAGGCTAGCTACATGTCGCTAGTGAATATGAGTTGAGCCAAAATGCCTAATCATATGCCTAATCATATGCTCAAGCATCTCCAATGCACTAGGCATATAATACTTGTTAGTTAAAATGCCTAGTGTGATTCACTTTTTTCAATTCCAATGTTCTGAACGAGCACATTATGCAATATCACCATGCGCTCAACTGGTGACGTCTGAGTCTCAAGGTCGGTCAAAAATGGGGTGGCTACAACCATGCTTTTTATTTTAGCTATTTATCCAAATACTATTAATTTTATAGAATGTCACGTCAATAACATAGGTGGAGGGAAATGATCATAATGATTGAATACATTTTGCCTAGCGTTGAAGGCTAGCTACATGTAGCTAGTGAATATGAGTTGAGCCAAAATGCCTGATCATATGCCTAGTGCATTGGAATTGAAAAAAGTGAATCACACTAGGCATTTTAACTAACAAGTATTATATGCCTAGTGCATTGGAGATGCTCTTAGTTTGGGATTACACTGATTAGAGTATTACGTTTAGGAAAAATACATAAAAAAAAAATAAATTGTGTGTTACATTAGAGCGTTACGTTTGGAAAAAGTACACTAAAGAGTTTTTTTAAGTGTTATGCTGTTACGTTTGGAAAAATATATTTTTTAATATGTTATATTGAAGTGTTACATCAGAGTGTTAGGTTTTTGTTCATAATGTGAGATTTATTTTAGAATGAGTGAAAATCCACAACTTCTATAGTATAAATTGTCCAAATGTGTAATTTTATATTTTGAGAAACTTACTTTTATATAATTTTCACTTTAATGAAATCGTTGAGTTCATAAAATAAAATAAAATAAATTTTTTTAAAAAAAAAGTTAAACAATTCATAAGATCATATTTTAAAATTTATTAATGTTTCACCCTTAAATTAATTGATTATAGAAAAAGCATACTCCATGGATATTCCATTAGACCTAAACTATTTTCTTTTTTAAATAAAAATATATAAATTGAAATTAATTTTTGTTTGAATTAAGAATTTGAATTGAGATTTGCCAAAATATAATGAATAAAAACAAATTTAAATTAATTTGTATGTCTGTCACTTTTTCTTATTTTTTATTTTCTTTCCGCAAATTCTTCTCAATTCAAAAAAAGTCCTAAAAATAGCAAAAAAATAAGGAATTTTTGTCTAATCCAATCTATACTAATCAAAAAGTATAAACTAAAAGTGTAATTCTTTCAACTTCTTGATAATCAATTTTTTTAACTTATTAAATCATTTATGTTTTTACCAAATAATTATAAATAACAATTATATCAAACAAATTAACATAACAACAATGCTAGAGGGCCACAATTTTTATGGTCACAATGGGTCAAAACTGCCAAAACGATGTCGTTTTTGGTGCAAAACATACCAAAACGACGTCGTTTTGACAATTTTAAACCATTGTGACCACAAAAATTGTGACCCTCAAACATTTTCCTTAACATAAATTCTCAAAATAAAACAACCCAAACAGCACACCAAAATTCGGTGTCATAATGGCAAAGGCATTTGCTTTTATAAGAGTAAAAACAGTTACAGTGGCCCTCTTTGGTGAAATTTTTTTTAAGATAAAGGTTGATAATCAAAAAATAAAAATTAAAAGTACTCTTACTATAACTTTTAAATAATCATTTTTTTTAAAATTTATTTAAACTATTTTGACTTAATAAATTATAAATAAAATCTGTACCATACAATCTAGCACACCTAAAAACTGTAACGAACTGTCACAGTATAAGAGTTAACTCTTGTGAGCTTCTCTTTAAATTATTTGTTTTCCTTTTTCAAACAAAAAAATTTCAAACAAAAAATATAATAAAATAAGAGCATTGCTGTTCAAAATTAAAAATTTAATTTAATTTTCAAACTCAATAATATGATAATCAATTAAAATATTAAAAGTAATACTCTCATATCTTCTTTAATCATTAATGAATTATATCACTTACTTTGGCACCGTTCGGGAAGATGGTTTGAGAGTTTTTTTTTGACTATTTCAGTCACAAAAGACAAAATAGACTATTTTAGTCATAATAAATAAAACATTATATCGAATTTATAATTATTACACTCTTTTCTCATAAAAAAAAGTCAAAAAAGTCAAAAAGTCCTTCCCAAACTAAGCTTTTTAACCCGGACTAAAATAGTCAAAAAATTTAAAAAGCTAAAAAGCTAATCCACTTTCCAAACGAAGCCAAAATAGATCTAAAAAATAGACTTATATATCATTTATCGTAAAATAAAATCAGAAAATGACTTGCAACAAATTCACATGTTGGGCCTCAAACGATATTTATAAGCCCCGCCCATAAAATGCATTGGGCCACAAAATCCTATCCAAACCCGCCCAAAGGCCTTGTAGGTCAAATTAAGCCCTAAAATAATTAGTTCGGATCAGGCGAGCCTGACGGGCCATCCTATTTGAATCCAAAATATGTATAGAGTACCCTCAATTATTTTTTATATCATTTTTTTGGTAAAAATTAAAAGACCCAGTAGTTAGATTAACAATAAAATATTATAGGAGTTGCTCTTGTTTTGTCATTTAAATAGTACATTATTTGAGAATTACTCTTTCTTGTTAGTACCTAATGCTTATGTACTTATAACTTTAATTTTTACTTTTCCACGAGAATTCTGGTAGATAATTTATAATGTAAATTTTTTTTCTATATCAAAAAATTTTATAATACTTATGTAAAAGTTTAATTTTTTTTGTATTTATAATGTTTATGTACTTATAAATTTGATTTTTTTTTTTTTCTGTATTTGAGAATTATTTTCTATATTGAAATTTTTTTGAAATAATTTAATTTTTTTAATTTGTTTAATATTTATTATTTGGATTTACCTTGAGAATAATTTGAAAAAAATAATAGAATGCAATCAGAATAAAATAAAATTTTAAATAATTAAACATGATGTATTTAAGTCCCCCACCGGCTGTTTTGATTGCCTTCACAGATTTTTTTGCTTTTTCACTGAAACCTGAAAATGACTTCACAGATAGACTTGTCTTCTAAAATACAAAGAAGCTCAAAAAGGTAAAGTTTTGTACAAGTCATAACTACAAATAACTACAAAACTTGAGGCACATTGAGTCATAAATAACAAGACTTCATTTAAATGAGACATGCCAAAGACAAAAAAGATCACTTCTATCATTGAATAGAAAAAATCCAGAATCAGATTACAACAAAGACACCTATTCCAGCTTGAACAAAATGGTACTCAAAAAAAAAAAAAAAAAATTCCCTCAAAAAAAATTCATCAAAAAAAAAATTCCCTCAAGAAAAACTCATCTTCAACAACATCGTCATTAGCCAATGAAACTACTACTGCAAATACGCTGCTACAGGGTTGCTCAAGGGCAGGCACAAAAACCCGCAAGTTAGAGCGGAAACTAACCAAATCTTTCTAAATAGTGCTGACAAAAAAAAAAAAAAAATTGAATCCAACACAATGAAAATTCTCGTTGTGTCAAGAACAGGAGAACAAGATTGCATGCTAAAAATTTGGAGAAAAAATTGGATAACTACTTTGATTCAATCTCTAACCCACAAAACTTCCAGACTAACAATCTCAAAGTACCAATGCAACCTTTTCTTGGGAAACGACTGATGAAGGATGAGCAATAAGGGGCTCGTAATGGTCGCCTCCAGCACCACACCAACCTGTAATTAAGAATATATTTTAACAAAAAAAATTGAGAATGGGCGACGGTATAAAGCTATTAAACTACCATTGAAAAAGAATGATCTACACTATCTTCTATACTATCATATAATGCACACAACTTGTTATGAACTTTCACACTTTTTTCCATTCCCAAACTACCCTATATAAACTGCCACTATATAAACTGCCTCAATCGATAGGAGATTAATTATAACTATGAAAATAATTACATCAAACTAGACAATTGTATATCTCTACAAGTCCAACAACCAACCCAAACAAACCACCTGGCCCCTCTAACACAACAATCACCACAAAGAATACAAGTCCAACAACCAACCCAAAGGAACACCCAGACCAACCCAACAATCAAGCCCAACCAATCACTAATACAACCCTCGTAATGAGGGAGAAATAAAAGGTATCAAATTCCTCTTTATCGAATTTGAACTCACAACCTCACACCACAAAACGGTGCTACACCATGACCACTAGGCCAAAAGCCCTGGTTAACTACCTCAGATTTTGATTTTTAATTTCAAAGTTTGGTAACTTTTCTGTTTTTTTTTTATTATTATTATTATTATTATTTCTTTTTCTGCATTTAACTGGTCAATCATCTACATTGAACTAGTATCAGAAAAAGGGTAATATAATATGACAGAGAAGTTCCATCACCTGTTCCTTTCATGAAGAGAAAGAAGGGAGGTTCACAAATTTGACTCCTTGGCCGATGTGGGAGGAAGAAAACACAATTTTCTTCATCAACCATGGCATCTGATCCATGTGCTTGCACCTGTAGATAATTGATCCAAAATTAAGGGAGTTTAAAATTAAATTCTAAGAGACTGGGTAGTTAACCAAAAGAGAAAACATTGAAAATGACATTTATACCAAACTGACTATTAGGCCCTGTTTATTATAGTTTTCAAAATTTTCAATGAGCTTTCAGAAACAAAAACAATGAAAAGTTTGAAAACACCCATCGTTTTCATATTGTTTTTATTATTTTGCAAAAAAAGTTTTGAAAAATCCAAAGATAAAAAGAGAATTCACCAAGAAAAATAGAAAAAAATATTTTTTATCCTTTACGCCAAAAAGGGAAACTACACAACAAACCAATACCAAAAATGAAATCCTTTAATCTAAATCTTCTTCTTACCACATATATCTCTCTTTTGAATTCACTTGCAAGACACTCTATTGCTATATCGTCTCCAAATGCAGCAGCATGACCTTCTCTATTCTCATCTATAGTTAATAAACCTTCCTCAGTGTATTGCAAAGTGATGATATCATATTCATCATCAGGTGAACCAGAGATTGACATGTACTTGGCCCAACTCAGGCCGTCATCCACTGCAATACATCTCTCCTTGTAAATGGACTCAGCAGCGAACTCTCTTCAATCAGAAAAAGTAAAATCAAAAACAAACTAACAAAGATAAAATACTAAACACAAAAGCAATATGCAAGATTCATTCTAAATAGAACTCAACTCATATCAATCAACAAAATCCAATAAGAGTTTTATGAAGTTCTTTATTACTAATTTCTTTAAATAGAAATATGAACAAATCCACATACACTATGTACTTTGTGAATTTTACACTATAGATAGGTCCCCCTGAAAAACAAAAACAAAATTATTTCATAAGATGCATTGAAAACCCATCACAAAATACATTATGCAAAATAACAAGAAAGTAATTTTATACCAGATAATCTGCAAATTTAGGCCCCGTTTGTTTGGAGAGTTAGAGGGGAGATTGCGATTGGTAGTGAGATAGGACTCATTAATATTGTGTTTGTTTTGAGAGATAGAGAGGGGATTGATAGTGAGCTCTGGATTAGGATGGACCTCCCCAAGGGGATTCGGATGGCCCTCCAGGACTTGGTATTAGAAAAATAGTCCGGCGGACTAGAAATTTTTTATTTTTATTTATTTTTTACATGTTAGGCATTTTTTTTTTTAACATTAATGTTTAATTTTTTGTATTTTTTGTTAAGTAAAAATCATTATTTTATTTGTTTTATTTTTTTTTTGAAATTTTTTTTATTTTTTAAAATTTTTTTATATGTTGGGCATTTTTTTAAAAACAAACATTTAATGTTTTTTTATTTGTTTTACTATTTTACATTTATTTTATATAAAAATAATTTAACAATCCCAACACTAACAATTATCATCAAAATAAACACAATTTTACTTAATTCCCTCACTATCAATCTCCTCACTAACAATCCCCTCACTATTAATCCCCTCACTATCAGCCCCGTCCATTCTACCTTTGAAAACAAACGGAGCCTTATTTGTGCAACAATAGAAATTTTGGCTAGAAAATGGAGGCAAGAAAAGAATTTTTGAATTTTCAAGCCTAACAATAATGGTATAGGAGTTTTTGCGCGAATCCTTAATACATATATATATATATATATAGGCCCCTTTTGGAAGGTGCTTTGCCAAGGGTAGAGAGATTTTCTTCCATAGGTACTAATCTAATAACTAACAACTTTTTAAAAAAAAAAAAAAAAAAAAAAAAAAAAACAAACAGATTATAAACATCTTCTCAAAATAGTCCATAGGTATATATAAATTAAATGCAAATAGTTTCTTCTAATTTCCCTATATTTTCGCATCAACCAATCAGACCAAAACAGGAAGAGAGGGGGGGGGGGGAATCAAACAATTTTTGGTTAGAAAATGGAGGCAAGAAAACAATTTTTTTATTTATTTTTCAAGCTTAATATGTATAAATGCAAACAGTTTCTTCTAATTTTCCTACATTTTCGCATCAACCAAACAGACCAAAACAGATAAAAAAAAAACAAAAAAAAAACACATACACACACACACATTCAAACAATCTAAAGCCTAAAATCTTCATTTGATTAAACAGATCTGTATGTATGGATTCAAGAAGTTTACCTTTGCATCCCAAGACTAACGAGCTCATCGATAGCTGAATCCAAGCCCTCCCGATCTTCCTTCTTAGCCAATAATTTGACCTCCTGAACAACATGAATACCCCAACCAGACTTGAGATCCGGAGAATACATATGCTTAATCGCATCATCAATCGCACTTGTCTCCTCAACGCTCACAACAGATCCAAGATCTTCCAAAAACCTTCTCGCCGTCCGCCGCCGCAGCTCTCTCGGATCGATCTTCGCCGCCGTCGATCCCATCGCCTTCTGCGACGCCGTGAAGAGACAGTTCCCGTCGGCCTCCACGTCGCCCCCGTGACTCAACCGGAACACAACCGACGAGGACTCATCCCCTGGGTGCTTCCACAGGACTCCCTTAGCGTGGAGCCTCCGTAGATGGCTCTTTTGCTGGTCTTCTAAGCCGGACACGTTTTCCCATGTGGTGGTCGTCGATGTCTGGTCAGCAAGATCTACGGCTTCGATTGAATCTAGAGATGGAGCTGAGATTGGGTCCCTCCACAGTGATGAGGTCATCGAATCACATATAAGCTTTCCCATTTTTCAAATTTTTTTTATTTTTTGGGAAATTTGTGATCTTGAGTTCTCTTCTCTTCTTCAATGGAGGATTCGCAGGAGAGAGAGAGAGAGAGATGTTAGGGTTAACGTATAGATCGACGAGAAGGGAGAGTATGGACACGTGGCAAGAGCTGCTGGGTATTTATTGGGTATTGATTCTGGGGAGTGATTCTAAGGTGTTGCGGTGGAGCATGGTTGTGGTGAAGCTGAGACGGTAGGGGGTGTGACAGCTGGTGAGAAATGATTGGGTATTGATTGTAACGAGCTGGGTTGTTTTCGAGGACATGTTTTCACGTTTGGCGGGACGGGCTAGGATCCCCTGTCTCCATTTCTATTTCAATTTTTTTTCCCTCTTTTTTAAAATTTTATTAATTAAAAATAATATTATAAACCCACCCCATATGGTTTTCACAGTACACAAACTAATCTCATCTTATCGGAGTAATACATTAATTTATTTTTCTATCTTTTTTAAGTTTTATTATTTCTCTATTTTTTTATATATATATTTTTATAAAAATTTAAAAAATATATTTATTTATATCATTCCAAACATCTCTTAATGCCTGACCAATTATGACCATCAAATAAATAAATAAAAATGTCAATTAATGATCAATTTTAGTATGGAGGGATGTGTAATAGAAATGCATACAAAAATAAAATACGGAACAACATAAAAATATATTAAAATTTTAACATATCTCACCATGCTATTATATATTTTTATATAATTTTTACACATTTTCTAACATCAACAATAATTTAAGAGCTGCTTTTAACATTTTTAGTTTAATATTACTTTTAATCATTTTTAATAATATGATAACAAATAACGGTTTGGGAGTTTATCTATTAGATGAGATATACTCTCATGAGCATGATGTTAATGTTTCTTTTTTACCTCTACAAAAGTGCTACTCTTACGCTGTGTTTGGTTAGAGGATTTGGGAAGAGAAATTGAAAGGAAAATGGAAATGAAAGGAAAAGGAGAAAGAATTAATAGAATTTCAAATCCCAACTATGTTTGGTTGTGTTGGTTATAAAATAGAATTGATGTCCTAAAAGGTCTCCTATTTCTTTATTTATTTCTCACCCCCTTTCTTTTTCCATATATTTTTTATTATAACCAAACATAAATAGGATTACATGTCTCATTCCTTTTCCAAATCCCACCCCAAAAACCCCAACCAAACACAGCATTAGGGTTGATTTGGAAAGTAGGTTAGTTTTTTGACTTTTTAATTTTTTTAATTATTTTAGTTTTGACTAAAAAGTTTGGTTTGAGAATGGTTTTTTGACTTTTTTAACTTTTTTTTGTAAGAGAAGAGTGTAATGATTATGAATTGGATGTGATGTTTTATTTGTTGTGACTAAAATAACCTATTTTGTCTTTTATGACTAAAATAGCCAAAAAAAAACCCCACAACCTATCTTCCCAAACGGAGCCTTATTATATTCCGGTCCTATTGATTATTATTTTTTAAATATGAAATCAAGTAACTTCAAAATGTAAGTTATGAGAATTGTTATTCATAAATTAGTTGTCTCTCGTATAATTTTAGTGTATTTTGTAGAACTTTAGAAATATGATTTCACATCTTGGTTTGAATGTTGTGCTTATTTAATAAAAAATATTTTCAAGTTTTTTTAAAAAAAAATTTATGAGTTTTGGATAGATTTTTGAATTATGTGCTTGGTTACAAATTTTAAGTTTATGAATTAAACAATTTTTCTAATTTCAAAAATTCAAAACTCTTTTCAAAACTCATAACCAAACAAATTTTCTCTATTCAAATCATAATTTCAAAATTTATAAACTCAAAATATAACTCTATTCTCATATCATAATTTTAAAATTTTACCAAACGCTACCTTAAATTTTCTTTAAAGTTTTAAATGTACAAAATATTCCAAATACAATAAAATTTACCATCAATATGTGATTTATTGTGGTGCTCCTTGTAAGGCATGAGAATAGGAAGCTGTAACAGTAATGGTACAATGCAAATTGACTACTCTCCCAAACTATGTAAAAATTATGAGTATTTGTTGGCTACATATTTTGTATAAGTCAATTACAATTCAACGCGTGGTAGATTGAGGGTAAAACGGGAAGGCAACTCAAATCTTCGATCGTGATCATACGCGTGGTAGTTAATATTGGTTTGCATAAGATCTGCGTACGGGTCCATTTGGGAAGAAGATTTCTAGCTAAAATAACCACAAAAGACAAAATAGGCTATTTTAACCACAACAAACAAAATATTACGTCCAACCTATAATCATTACACTATTCTCTCACAAAAAAAGTCAAAAAAGCCAAAAAGTCATTCCCAAACCAAGCTTTTTAGCCCAGGCTAAAATAGCCAAAAAAGCCAAAAAGCCAACCCACTTCCCAAACCAACCCGCAAAGTGATGTGATTTCAACGGTTACTCACATTTGAATTCAAAATTAAAAGGGAAGCCTAACTGCAAGTGATGGCATAGTGGAGCTAATTATAAGGCAACATGATCAGCAATCATGGAGGAGCAATTCGACGGTTGAAAGTGCAATTCAATGGTCATCCTTGAGAAGTATAAATAGCAGAGAAGACCCCAGAAAAAACTCCAGACTCAGATCCAAAAAAACAAGTTTTATTCTACTTCATTTTCTTTCCCGTTTTTACATTTCCTGTTCTTTACATTTCTGTACTTTAATTCATGCACTGCACTTCGTTCATAGGAGTAGTTTCAAGTAGATTGTTGCTGTAAACCTCTACAATGCTAAATTGGATCATTGTAAGTTTTCATTTTAATGAAATGCTTCAATTGCTCTTCATTTGATTGTCATCTGCTTAATTCTCCTAAATCAAGCCACCAGTAAAAGTCCTCTTCATTGAGGTTGAAAGAACTAAAACACAATCGTCTGATAATTGGTTGGCAATTAATTTTCTGTAAGGATTGATAATCCTTGCTGGTAAGCTCATAATTATAATAATCGCCTTCGAAAGCCAAAAAGCCAACATATATTTTTGGCACGCCTGGTGGGACTAATTGAAATGGCTAGACGTAGGAGACAATGAGAAAATGAACGCTTGGAATAATGCGTGGAAGGAGAGGTAGAAATACCTAATCCAGATGATAATGTGATAACACATCCTGTAGAAACACCAATTTTATCAGAACCTATGATCGAACAGACCAGTACTTCGGAACAAGTACTACATGTTCATAATATTTGACGAGGCCAAGGAATTGGACCATCCACTGTTCCATTTACTCAGCCAATGAATCCGTGGGGAGGCCTAGTAGATGCCATGGGACAACAGTTAATGAACACAATGGAGAGATGGGCAACATCCTTTTTGGATCGAATGAATACCCATTAACCAACAAATACAAGACATATGGAGAAAGTTTCAAGTGTCCCTCAGCAAAGATTGGCTAGAGATAAACAGTCTGTGCAAATTAATGGACATTCTAATGGTCAAACTAGTAGTCAAAACCATGAAAAACCATCACCTCAATCTTGGTATGAACCTATTTCGAGGCCTATAGCAGGTCAAAATGCCTCAGCATTTAACAGTGAAGCCATACAAATTGGTGGATCTAGCCCAAGACAAGAAAATGGCATAAGAATAGTTCCAAATCCCATGTTCGAAGCCATACCTGGCACAAGGGGGTTCACTAATCCCTTATTCGAATTTATACCCGCGGGGATTGGAAGGTTTTCCTACAAATGGAAGAGACACAACACCTATTCTAGCACCTTTCGCAGGACAGGTCAAAGGGGTTACCCACACCCCCAACAGAAACCGGCACCATAAGGACAACCAGTCCTAAACATACCACCTTATGGGCCAAGAGGACCACAAGCACAAGGTTGTCCACCAAATCCTGTGTTTGTTCCTCCAGTAGTGGTTCAACAGGCACAAAATATGGTCCTTAGGGACCAAATTGCTGATATTGTTAGAGAAATGTGTGGACTAATGACTCGGGGGGTTCAAACTCCTGTGTACAGGAAACCATATCCAGAATGGGTGGATAGGGTACATGAATATCCAAGAGGATTCAGGATACCAGACTTTGCCCTTTTTTATGGGAATGGAAACCAGTCAACAGTGGAGCATGTTGCTAGGTTTGCTACTCAATGTGGTGAATTTACCAATAATGATTACATGAAGTTAAGATTTGTTACGCCCCACTTTTTATTACTCGAAGTATTACCAATTTCATTTACTTAATTCCATTTCAGAGATAACATGCGGAAATAAACTCGTGTATTCAACTCGTAGAAGTGGATAACATTGCTCTTATTCATATACAAGTAAGTACAACATGAGTAAAATAAATAAATTGCCCTTGCGCTTACATCATTAACGAATCAAGAAGAAAGGTGCAACCCTTTTACACATATGGCATTCCGCCAATACAAGAGAGGCCCCGTGGCCAACAAATAAGAAGATCCAAATATTGCAGCACATTCAGCTCAACACCTAAAAAAATTTAACAACGTGGGATGAACATATAGTCCAGTAGGGATCTCAACATGGCCCTTAACAATAACAACTTACAGATAGCTATGATCATGAATGCCCAATCTCATACTAGAATAGTAATGTTACAGTTTATACAAAATATACATAAGTATGAACTTTCTCGAAAACAGCCATTTCATTCAACGCTATAAGCGATCCATCATTCCTTTTTCTTTCATTAACTCTAATCCTTCACAACATTAACAATTACTTAGGAAATAATCTCACTAAGCCCATTACTCTCTTCCATTTTCCAAATGGCAAATTGACATTTTGGTTCGTTCCCAATACAATCATAACGATACATGCATACTTTTATAAAAAGGGAGATAACAACTTACTAACATGTATACAATCAACCAATGAAGTAACTTGGCTCTCCGAGACTGTAACCAACCAAATTCATGATTTCCTCAGATACAATGGAACAACAACAACAAAACTTTGCTCTACTAGTTATGTGCTAGCTGGAAGGGTGTGGTAGCTGGAAGGGTGTGGTAGTAAGCCAAAGATACACCTCTCACAACAACATACCAGTTTACCAGGCGCTAGCTGGAAGGGTGTGGTACCTTAGATTCTCAGCGCAGTCAGTTCTCCAAGCGCTAGCTGGAAGGTCACGGTATCTCTGATTTTTAGCGCAAGGTATAACACCACCAACCAAAATACAACA